CTTCATGATTATCATGGTTTTGGCATTATTGCAGCTATAAAAAAAAAGCAATAAAGCTGTCAGTCAAATTCAGATTATATTACTATACTATCTGTGGCAAGATAATTAAACTCAATGAACAGGTGCACGGAGGTAATGAGAGTCTGTAAACTAAGTCTAAAGTGTACAAAAAGAACAAATATTTATAATATTTTCATACGTGCATAACTAACACGACCTTTCGGTTGTCATGCCACCACTAGTCAAAGATTCATCCTAGAACGTGCCCTCGTCCAAGCAACAGCTGGCTGTGTCACCTGACAGCAGCCAACAAATGTGTTATTTACAGAGACGACATCCGTTAAACTGTATGTCGAGAGCAGAGAAATCCAAACTCAGCAATCAGTCGTTCAAACATGTGCTTCAGCTCGAAACTACTCTGGACAAAGAACATAAACGTAACCTGCCAGCTCGCTGGCACAAAGACCGTGCGTTGTGCAAAGCCACAGATGTGCAAACAGTGGAACTAATTCCAGTGCACTCCCTATTAAAGGCTGGTGTCTGCCTCCATCCAGGCTGCTCCATCACCTGAACCACATACAGTCTGTCAGTGCAGAAGTTAAATTGTCCTCAACCTGCCAATTCTCTAGCACACATTCCCCATCACACCTGAATGCACCAGTGTGAGAATAACACAGGTAAATGAGTGCAACACGACCTGCACACTCCATCCCAGCAGCTCCCAGCATTTTTATACTATGAACATGCATTAGAGGTGGGCTGCGTCCCACTGCGTGCTACGTGTGAGAAGAGGGATCTCCACAAGGTTAATGTGTGAAAATGGCTCAAGTTAAATTCTTTTTGCAAACCTGGATGATTTACTGAGAAACGGCAGCTCTGCATGTTGTTTGTGCAGCAATGTGAGTGCATGTAACAAGTGCTTCAGTTTCACCACCTTTAGATGGGACAGAATTAATCGCTAACCCTGTGGTTTCCTCTGGCGTGCTGAAAATAGTCCTTGTATCACACCTCATGCTTTGTTTGTTTTTCCACTTAATCAGTCATACAAAAATCCAAGTAGAGCTTTATATAAATACACGTCACCTTTATTTTTGCAGGAGCTATGACCCCCTCTCACCAAAAACATCAAATTCACTTTATCTTCACTTCGTGTTATTAACCTAATTGTTTGCACACAACTTGCAGCGTCTTCACTTCCCAGTTTAAACACCACCGCTCTAATCCAAACCTAGCCCCGTGACATATTCTCAGAAATAAAGCTTTCAAACAGCTTTCAAGCTTTCAAAAGCTTTTAACCTTTTAAAGGGCTGCCTGATGTTTTCCTAACCTGATCAAGAGGACACGGATGAAGACCGAGCTTTAAAAAAAACTGTCCCAAACCAGATTTGAACCCAAGTCTCCTGAAACTTGGGATGTTTCCTCCTCTATGACCTGATTCACTAGTGAGACTTTATATTCTTGGAAATGGTTGGATACTTCAGGCGCGTTTACGTGGACACAAAGCGGTCAGGTTCGTGACAGGTGCTTAGAACATTGGAGTGAGATGATCAAACCACAGAGCATGTTACATACCGAGAAATGTCACTCTGTTAACACAGGAAGCCCAAATACTTCAGATATGACACATTTCTGATGCTGCAGGAAATTTTTCTGCAACGGCAGCATCACACCTTCAGAGCACTCGACTGTGTTTCCTGGCGGAGCTCAAAGTTTCCTCAGTGACTCACTGAAATGTCCTGATGGTTCAGCCTCTGTCTGAACTGACAGACGAGGCAAACGCTGCAGACAGTCGTGCATGCGTGTTGCAGACGGCAGAGAAAACCGAACTCCGGCGAGTTCGCTTCAACATCTGCAAACAATCTGCAGATTATTTTCCCATTTAATCAATTAATTGTTGCTGCTTCCAGTCTGAATCTCCAGCTGTGACGCATTCAGCCACCATGAAAACTCATTAAGGGCATTAAAACGCTGCACTTCATTCAAAGAGCGCGTTTAATATTTATCCCATCACACTGCTCTCAGTTATTGCTGTGCAACCTAATAGTTTACAAACAATAACTACAATGAGATAATAAAATATAAAGATTTATTAAACTAAACTGCAGTTTAAATGTGATTTCACTGTAGAGCTATTAAAATCTGCCCCTCCAGCTACTTTATTACTGACGCATCAATAATAATGAAATATATAAACACAGGAGGGTTTCACACAGCATAACACACACACACATGAAAAGAAGGATTGTACATTCACTGATCAGAATTCATTAAACTTTATCCATGAGATAAAAAGATAAAAATGAGTTTTTTAAACACCCAAATCAGGCGACATCATCAAAACTTAATTAGCTTTAATTGATTATTCTGCCAAACTCTGCAACCTTTCGCCTCAAAAATCACACCCAAGCAAAGAACGTGACAAGACCGATCAGACAATATGGTTAATTATTCTTTGATTCATTGCTTCTGCTGTTTTTGCCACACAGGGCGGGGCTGTTATTGTCTAATGAGCCCATAAAGCTGGTTAACTGACCTTCATTTGTAAAGATGTTAAAGGATCCTTTGAGAAACAGACAGTTTTATTCAGTTATTAACTCGAGGTTTTATTGTCCAGCTCTGTGTGTCTCTCTCGGGGCCCTGCAGGTCCACGTCACGAGCTGGTTCAGTTTAATTAAAGCGCTTCATAAGACGGTACGAGAAGCTTTGCTGTTGTTCAGCAGGTTTGGAGCAGCGTTCACGTCCCCGTGCGTCCTGTACTGTGCGGTGTTCACACATAGAGGGGCGAGTGTGACATAAGTCTGCCTGTCAGGAGTGGATAGCGTGCATGTTTTTGTTTTGATCTTGTTTTTACCCACAAATGTGTTTCACTTTTACTCACTGCTGAGAATCAGACACAAACTTTCTGAGGCTTTGGAAAGCACCGCTGGCTTACATTTGGACACTCCTCACTGAGAGGGACGATGCTCGCAAGATGCCACGGGTGTTGGTTGCTTTTTGGTTTTTCTGCCCTCACTATTTAAAAAATATATATGTTATGACCGGCAGCCCAAACGCAGCCGTCAGAACTAAAACTTAAAAGTTGCTGCAGCTTTCAATGCTTGGGCTAAAATATAACCCTTCGCAGCATTTGTCATGTAGGTTAAACGATGACAGCCACCAAGAGCGTTTAACGTGATGCTTTAGAAGTGTCCACATGTGATGAGCTGTGAGTGACGGGCCTGTTTCACTCAATCTAAACTGCTTTGAGAAGTGGCAGGGGCTTTGAAACAACAGCAGTGTTTGACGCTGTGTGAATCAGACTGAGCTGACTGTTCATAGACGTCCAGTTTCAGGTAAAACTGACTGCGTTTAAATCCTGTGACACTTGTACTAACAGGTTGGGGCGGGTCCATTTTTGACTGGGATGGTTCTGCTTGCTTTGAAATGCTGCTTCATCCTGAATTTGATGTTTTACTTGTAATTTACTGTAAAATATTTTGTTCTGAATAAAGATTTCCAGGGTTTTACTGCACAGTGTTGTACTTTTGCAGCAATGCTGCATTTTTGCCCTGTGATCGACCGGTGACCTGTCCAGGGTGAACCCCACCTCTCGCTTAATGTCAGCTGCAAAAGGCTGCAGCCCCCCTGCCTCTCTCCAAAGGATAAAGCAGGCAGAGCTAACAGATGGGTGAATGGATGGATAGATGGAGACCCGCCGCACTTCTTCTACAGTGTACATTGTCAAGCAGCTTTCAAAGGAAACAACACAACTCAGACACAATAATGAAGGGTTAAGTTACCGATCACTGCACACGGGGGACACTTTTCATTTCAAACTGCAGGATCTACTGTTTCTATTTTATTTCACTGTCGGTGAGTTTCACGTCAAACATTTTTGTCCCAAATGAGACTTCAGACACAGACCATGACCATGAGTCTCTGCTGCAAAGAAGCACACAGATTTCAGCATTACATGGACTCGTGCATCCTCGGGTTGGCACATTTTTAAGTGGAGGGGAGGGTTTTCGTGGGAAATTCTTCCACATCTTAATTGAATAAAGCCCTCAAACAGCGGCAGCTTTGTCACAGAGCTTGACACAGCGGCTGCACCTTTATGCGCACAGCGCTGAATAAACTGCCAGCAGCAGGAGGAAGACACAAAAAGATGTTTACAGGGAGATGCTTCACGTTTGTAGCTTCTTTTCTTTCTTGTTTGACATGTCTGAAGTTCATCACTCTGAACACTTTACTGAAGCCGTGACTGCACTACCACGGAATAAAACCAGCGTGAAAACAGAATTCAACAGTCAGCGACACATTTCAGAGCAAAAGAAACACAGCTGCGGGAAACTTCTGCGCACAGCGAGAGAAAGCGACGGTCAGAGTCCACGGCTCTGTGCCACTGATCTGATTCCTGCTCCACTAATTAAATAACGGCGCAATTAAGGAGAGTCAGCTGTCAATCAAAGCCTCCTCTACGAGCGAGAGGAGCGCACAGCGAGGACGGAGTGAGAGAGGGGGAGAGAAACGGGCACTTACTTCTTTCAGGAAACAGTCCGTTTTTCTTTCATTCCTCCAGAAAATTAAAATTAAAGAGGCGACAAGAACTGAAAGAGCCTGAACACCGGGCGAGAGAGAGGGGGAGAGAGGGAGGACGCAGGACTACCAACAGACAGATGGAGAGAGAGAGGGGATGACAGGAGAGAGAGAGAGAGGGAGGGAGGGAGAGCAGCCGGCTAGATGGCTGTAATCCCATTATTGTGAACGACACATTGTTCTGAGAGAGAGAGAGCGAGGGACGTTCACAGGAAGCAGGGAGAGAGAGAGCGAGACATTCAAAGAGAGCGGGGAAGAGAGAGAGAGAGAGAGAGAGACCCACTGGGAATAAAAGGGGCGGGGCTTATCGGCCACACCTCTAGGTGGTGTCAGAGGGGGCGTGGTCTTATATTAATATTTAATAGGTAGGTTGAAGCGTGAAGTTAGAGAAAGAGAGGGCGAGAGGTAGTAAATCAGAGTGTCGCCACACCCCTGCAACTGTGTGAGCTGCTGTGGGCTGAAGGAGTCCAACCATGAATCCAGCCCCAACATATTGCAGCACCACCTGCAAACTTCTGTTATTATTACACGATCAGACCAGGCGCTTCGACATATTCAACAAGCATGTGAGTTTATGAGAATGAAAAATAATTGCTACACCTGAAAGGAAACCGACCAGCAAAGCTCAACGTTTCTCACACAAACAAGAGTTCTGAGTATTTTTAAAGTGGTTTAAGTTTTATTTGCACGCGGTTATCGAGACGGCTGTGGCTCGTGTGGTTAAGCTACTCGGCTACCCCGGTCCACATGTTGAAGTATCCTCGGGTAAGATACCAAACCCTGAGATGTCCCCAGTGCATCTATTGGGGTGTGTGCATGGATGAAAAAGTGTTCAGGCATGGAGTTGTGCGATTGGGAGAATGAGACGTGTAGTAGGAAGCACTTTGAGTGCTCATGTTGAGTAGAAAGGCACTGATCCATCTTTGTGAGGGTGCCTTTGCACTGCAGGAAAGTTGGACTGTTAAATAGCAGCAAATCAACACAACAGTTGGCCTCAAAGCGCTTTATACTGTAAGGTAAAGACCCCACAGTAGCACACATGACAACTCCTTTACGGAAGCGTTAACACGGGAGTCTATGGGGGTTTAATTGGTTTTAGAAACAGCCTCAAGTGGTCATTGGAGGAACTGCAGCTTCTTTTTTCCACTTCCGTGTTGGTTTCCTTTTCAGCCTGGAGGTCTGCTGCTCTCTAACCGACCCTTTTAGACTTTATGCTTCCACTGCTGTGCAGTAGGATCCATCAGATCGAACTGATGATGAAATGATTTTGCAACAGCTTTGTGATGCAGTTGCATCATTGCTGTTTGTTGCATCCACCTAAATGATGAGTTTTATGTTGTCGATAGTCAAGTGGAAGAGGAGACGAATGCTACCGCTAATACATTTGGTGCTTCTTGTCATCGTTTTCTCCAAGTCGACCTCCACCCAGCAGTTTTCTGTGCCCAGAGAAGTACCTACCCCAGAGTAGGCCGTTTGTTCTGCCCCGAAAATAGCAGTAAAAGAGGCTCTTCAAAGGCAGTTCCTGCTGTTGGAACCGGAACAAACAGCCACCAGTACATGCAGTGGGAAATTATTACATTATACTTGTTTAGTCAAAACTTTGTGTTAGTTTAAATGAAGTGAAAATGCAAACAGAGCAGGACTGGGGAGAATCTGCTGCTAAATCAATTCGGACTAATCTCAACCAAACCCAGTGGAATCACACACTTTATATAAATAAGTGTTCCAGATATTTGACTGATTATTGATGAGCTTCTCCTGGTCTGTTTTTTTAGTTCATGTTTTCTCATGAACTGCTTTAATTGAACAGAAGCGACTTTTTCTCGCATGAAAGCCGAGCAGCTGCTATCTGAAGTGCATCGTGAATCTTCAGACATCTATCTCTGTTCACTTTGATGCTGAAGAAAACTTAAATACTAAAAGGTTCTCAGGCAGAGTCAGAACTTTCTGTGGGTTTCTCGTGGTTTATTTTGGATAGAGATCAGACACAATGACATCCTCAGGAAGTGGAAGTAACACAGAATCTAAACATGCTGTGTGCGCGCCTCAATGTGAGGTATACGTTCTCATTTCTAACACTAATGCCTGCCTCGCACCAAACTTTTCAAGCACTTTTAGTGTCTCAGACAAATTTCCATCGTGGCATTAAAATCCTGACAGTTTTGTGGAAGCTCATTTTGATGGTTAGGTGTAGAGTGAGCATAAAAAAGTCTTTTTCTTTTCTTGAATGACTGATAAATTCAGATTTCTCTAATATTAATGTACATTTTTCCAACTTGGCCTTCTCTCTGACTAAAAACCGACACATTATCTTTAGACATGACAATTTCCCAGACCATAGCAAGTCTTTTCAAAGTCTTGTAGAGTGTGGTAGGTATAAGATAAACTTCCTGTTCTGCTTACATATAACCTGCAGTTCTCTGATTGAGGATGTTGGCCTCATGTTTCGCTGACAGTCTGAAAACTGCCTTTTCACAACTGGAAACAAATCAAAACCAATTTACCTGCAGGATTACAGGATACAGCTGCCAAAATCTGACAACGCTGGAGCCACTTCCTGTCAAAGCAGGCATCCGGACGTTATCTGTCCGTGTTATACATGTTATGATATATTTGAGTCATAATTAACAGGCTCGGGGCTCAGATTTCGCGTGCTTGGGGAACGCCGCCTTCTTCAGTAAAACCTCCTCTGCAGCGAAATGAAGCGTCTCACAGAGAAAGCAGAGTCCCTCTGAGGACGTCTCTCTGAGGATGTCCCACAGCCGACGTGTCTCTTTGATTCTCCTCCATCAGCTGCTGCTGTGGGCGGCCCAGCAATCCCACTGCGAGCCACAGTGCATGATGGGAACCAGCTGCTTAGTCTCCTACATGTTCTCACAGTCTTCAAATTGCAGCAGGTGCTCGTCATTTCCCTGCTCCGGACCGAGGTCGGTCTTATTCATGTCTTTTTGATGTTGTTTGCTCTTCTTTGCTCTTCCTTTGTCAGGTTTTTTGTCCCACACAGAAATGAAATCCAGCAGCAGAGCAACGAGCAGACTCACGTTATCAGATTGGCTCGGGCTCGACACTAAACGTCTCTGCTAAGGTGAGTGAAAGTTTCTGTTTTCTGTCGCCTGATTGGTTCACAGCTGACAGGTCACAGCAGGTGAGAATCCCAAAGTGTTCAGGTCGTCATGGTAACCACCGACTGTTTAATGTGATGTGAAGACAGCGTGAAGACTTGGTGCGTGCGCGAGTGTGTGTGTGTCTGTTATCGCCGTCGTCTTATCTGTGACACACACTCTGCTGGTAAAACATGTGTGTGACCTCAAGTTACTCAGTGTGTGTGTGTGTGTGTGTGAGACGATATACTCATGCATTCATTCATGTGTGTGTGTGTGTGTGTGTGTTAGAGCTCAGCTGGGAGTGTTTGTCCACCTCTCATCAGGAGCCCTCATGTAATATTAATCACACACGCATACTTAGGGTCACACGCACTACTGAACACACACACACACCGATCACATCAATCAAACACACAAAGAGAAACACACACAGCCGTACCCCAGGATTAGCTACTATCTATCTTTGTGGGGACATTTTGTTCAGGCCTCACTCTGGGACGGGCCTCAAAGGGCCGCTCAGGGTTCAGATCCGTGGAGCAGAAGCAGGTTTACGCTCAGGGTTACAAAAGCGTCACACTTTCCGCACTCGTGGGCTAAATTAAGTCATCGGGCTTTTGTGCGGTTGTCTGCAAACTTCACATTGTCGCTGTTGTTGTGTAGACTTGTCTGCATTGCCGCCACCCAACTCTGCATATAAGTAACGCGTTCTCCAAGCAGACCAGAAAGTGCATATAATAAGAGCAACCACCCGTCCGTTGTGCCTGCAGCTGTCCGTGTGTGCATCCGCAACCCAGTATAATCCGGGCCCGAGTGTCCCAGGAGTGCAGTGTGTGCCTGAGGGTCCTCGCAAAGATAGGAGAACGGCCGTGTGTGTGGCCAGCTGGTGCAGCAGCGTCCATGATGTGATTTTATATTTCTGCATTAACGTCTCAAACAAACACTCGTTATTTAAAGGCCATTTAAAATCCGTCCACTCGACAATTTACTGCCAGTCACACAAAGGAAATAAAACATGCGACCAATTATAGCCTGCTCTCTTTTTCTAAATAATCCACTGCAGGACTGTGTCCTCACTGAGCCACACACTCATGTTCTCAGCTTTTCCATTAGTTTCAGCAGCTGTTCAACAAACAACAACAGACCACATACCTCCACCAAGGCTGGAAAGTTTCTCTACACCCTCGATTCAGAATCATATTTGGGTTAGTAGTAGATATTTCATCTCAAAGGATGAAAGGAGGGATAAAAAAAATATTAAATTTTTCCTTCAAGATTCCTGCTTCTGGATCCCGGTCTGAAACAACTCTAAAAGTTCATGATGTTGGGCCGAGCTCTGGATACCATCCACCCACACACAACTTCTTGAGCAATCTTGCTAATAAACTGGACAAATAAAAAATAAATTGAGCCAATCACAGTGGAGATAACACCCATGGGAACAAAACAAACTTGAAACTTGCTAACTTGAAATTCAAAACTTTGCTACTTTCTGCTGCTTGCTCGTGCATCCTAAAACATCTGATGTAGACATGAAGAAAAGTGAATAGATTCTTGAAGTACAGTGAGACTAAAGTCAGAGTTTTCAATATTTCATAAAGGGATCTTTACACCTGGCCTACTGTGGTTCCATGTAGATGCTCAATCATCCAGGCAAGGAAATCCCAAAAAGTTGATTCTGTTCATCTGGACAGAGAAACGTTTCGTCACTCGTCCAAGTGACGTCTTCAGTCTCAGCTGACTGCAGGTTTCCCCAATCTTTTAAACAGTACATTTTCACAATAACTGAAACTAGCACCACTGAGGGAACAATGGACTGTGAGGTCAGGTTTTTGATCACTAATATGCAAATTGCCATGACCATTGATCAATGGCCATGAGTACCATTCACAGTGTGTTGGGGAATGGCTGCAATCACAGCATTGTAAGATGGTGAAAGAGGTCCTCTTAGGCTCCCTCCTTGATTCAGAGATGGTCTTTCCCTTTTCACGTAAATGGCCTCCTTGACTCCGCGCCCATCCAGAAAGTGCACATGTTCATCATTGAAAGTGTCCACTGGCCCGTAGGTATGTTTCTGCCACTGAAAACGGTTCATCCAGATGAACAGAATCAACTTTTTGGGATTTCCTTGCCTAGATAGATTGCAAATATGTTCGCAATCTGTCTGCATTTATTTGCAAGTTTTCATCAATCTGTCTGATTGTTTGGAGTCAGGTTGCCTCCCACCAACCAATCTGCAGAATCAACGTGTTAGTGCAAGTGCTCGCCCAGGTCTTGGGCATGTTGCACACTCCTGTTTATAAACCAGGCGGTCGCCACAACTAATTGCGAAAACGTCAGTGCAGTCACCACTGATTTTTCATAGTCACGAGGAGGCTGCAGCCTGTTTTTCCCTCAGGATTCCCTCAGGAGTTTGCATGCATGCAGGTCAGAATGGGGGGAAAAATAAAAAGAGCATAAATATATGTCATGTTTAGTGTTGATTTGCAGCTGTTATTACAGCTAAAAGCAGCTAAATGCACTTCTTGTGAGCATGTTTAAATATTTCTAGTTTTAGAAAATATTTCTACAATTTTAGAGCTTTGTTAACTGCTGGGAATCAGTCTGCAGGCACTCAAAGGGCCTTCATGCAGTTTCTCGTTAGACATGATCGGCATCACTGAATCCAATGAATAATAGAAAAAATATATTCATATATGAATTTACAGAGGTAACTATTTTCTGCCAGCATCCTGCTATCTCGTCTTTTCTCTGCACCAGTGTAGATATTTGCTGTGCAAAGAGTCAATTGATGCACCAAAAGCCCTCTTTTATGTGAGCCTGAGGAAGAAAGCCTGGGGTAACAAAGAAAGTTGATAACCGTTGATGTGATACCCATTATCTCTGATTGGAGTTTTAGGTTTTGTATAAGCAGCCAACACAAAAGAAGGCTGGCTATGTCAAACTTCACAGCGCAGCCCTCCTCGAGACTTCGGCATGAGATAAGATATGATATTTCGGGGTGCGTGTGTTTGTTCCCAGGTAAGGCTTTGCAGTAGAAACAAAAGATGAAGGACGAGTGAAGAGGCTTTAAAGGGGGCGGAGGATGGGTCAAGGAGGAGCGGGAGGAGGGGAGAGGTACGTGATGAAGGGGGAGGTGGGGGTGAGAGAAGGGGGCAGGTTTAGAGAGCGTGAAAAGCAGCTTGTACAGAGACGAACCAACCAGGCGGAGTAATGAATGAGGGGGGGAGGGGAGGAGGAGGTGAAAGGTGACACGCAGTAATTGGGGGGAAATGTGTGTGTGCGATGCAGCGAGGCGACGTGTCCCAGATAAAAATCAAAAAATCTAATTCAGCTTTATTTATCTTCGGGGTCGTTTCGTTTAACAATCAGTGAAATAAATTAGGTTAACGCAAACTAACACATGACGGGAAATACATCTGTGTTTATAGATATGGATACAGATATAGCTGTATGAGAGACAGGAGACGGAAATGAAAAATATGTTCTTATGACACAGCTGAATGTGGAATTTAATTTTGGGTGAATTTATGGCCGTAGAAATGTTTCTTTTATTAAAGTCATCTGTCTGAATTTTCCTGTCTGTAATCTGCAGAAACTCATTTCAACAGCAAGGCAGCTGAAACCTGATCATGCAAAAGTTTGATTAATCACGCGATTGACTACCCTACGAGAGGGAGAGAGACACAGGAACACAGAGAGAGAGGCGCCCTGGTAACAATGGCTCTTCTGTTGCAGTAACTCTCTCTGATGATCTTTGGGTCACTGATCCTGAATCTGCAGATTCTCTGTACCAACTAATTAGATCACTGCATCCTCCATCTATCACTGAACTCCCAGCGACTGTAATAAGCCGTTTTCACACGTGAACTTCGGCGTCGGAACAATCAGGTCAGGACTTATTCCACAGTTGTCGTTTCTAATGTGCAGCGCGCAGCAGGAAATAGTCCGCTTCCGACTCGTTCTCGTTTCTAATCCGTTTGGTTTAGGCGAGGGCACAGAGGCAGCACACACGACGCCCACTCACTCGCTGTGAATTAACTGAACAATTAGCTGCGGTACTCTCACATGGGCACAATCAAGCATCACATGGACTTTGTAGCAGGGAGCTGGCAGGTTAGAGACTGTTTAACGTCCAACTCGTTCTCACGTGCAGCTCCGTCAGTTGAGAAAGGTTCAAGGCTTCAGGTGTGAAATGCAATACAGACACAATAAGCAGCAGAATATCACACAAAGGCAACTCTACGGGGCAAGCGTTTAGTCTCAGTGATGTTCAAGAATGATGACATCATCAGGAGCCATGTGGCAGCTGCCTGTGAGGTCACCGGTGAGGACATCCGGACTTATCAGAAGACAGAGATTAGAGCCGCACCAACCTGTTGAGGCAACCTGCTGCTGTGATGTAGAAACTGAGCTGTGAGGAAGAGGAACCTTCTTCATCAGGAGGACGTTCTGGAGGAACACAAAGATGTACATCAGCACAGATGTGAAGTGCATTAATCCCAACTTTTCTTCTAACGGCCGGGGGTGACCTCTCTGGCTTCAAATCAGATCAGTTTGTATGGAAGTCTATGGGAAAATGACTCACCTGATTTATAAGCTCTGCAAACACAATTCTGAGTTTATGGACTCAGCCTTTACTTTAAAGTCTTATTGAATACAACATGATGCTAATTTTTTAAAGTTTTGGCCCTGTGTGGAGTAAAACAGGTGATAAAACAGTAGAAACTAGTGCTGTCAGCGTTAATCTCTTTAAAATGACGTTAATGCCATTACTGCATTAACGCCCCAAATCTCAGTTATCAAGTTAGCGTGGACCGCCCCATGAGTGGGATTGGACGGCACTAACGCGTTAACAAGCTAACTGCCCTGACGCGTTGACACCGTGCAGCCCGACGGATGGAACGATCGCACTAGAAGAAACATATAAACAGGTGTTAAACAGTCTGAAAATTGAACTCAGTTCCTTAAACTTGTATTATTTTATGACCAGCAGGGGGCGACTCCTCTGGTTGAAAGAAGACTTCCAGTTGTATAGAAGGGAAACTGCTCCTGGGCTCCCGCGCTCTTTGGCCTCAGTAAAATTGACTTTATGGGCGCAAGTGTCACATAATACTAGATAAAACACAAAGTTCATTTTTGAAAACTATGGTCATACTAGGGTCAGAGAGAGGGATAAACAAGCAGGCAGCTTTCTTTCATAAAAAAAGGATTTGAGGCTTTCAGAAAGCAGTTGGTGACGTCACAGTGGCTGCATCCATCTTTCATATACAGTCTATGAGTATCCGTCTCTGTTAGTGAAATGAAGTTTCATTCAACTTGAGGCAGAAGACTTTTTTTCTCTTGGTCAACATGTTGACAAACTCTCACATCCAGCAGGTTTATCTGACCCCCGGGGTTCAGGTGTTAATCAATAACAATTGTCAGCACCGCAGATGAATTATTGATCGGCTCCCTGATAAATCAATGGTTTCGGCATTATTTTCATGTGTAATCACAGACATTTCCCCGTCCACAGTCTGAGATGTCAGAGCTGTCATCGGGGCAAAGCAGACAGCGGCTGCGGGCCCCTGAGGGTCTAAAGTCCCTAAAGGTTTCTGTCATCATTCGAGCTAGGAAACCATGGAAACAGGCGTGTTCACCCTGTCAAAGTGTCTCCTGCATCTCCTGGCCGTGTGCCCACAGTCTCGTGTTTTGGGTGGATTACTCCTTTATTGGCTCTTCATCAGCCATCTGCCTTCAAGGCCAACTGTGAGGTCAAGCAATGAATCACTTCCTGTTTGCCTGCCGGAGCCTATAATGAGTTAATGAGCTACGTGGAGTGTACAGCTAATCAATCACCGCAGCTATTGATTGATGATCTATAGACCGAGCTGCTCCTGCTCATCTGTCCTCGTCAATACAGCCGCTTCTCGCTTATTAACCTGCACACGCCCGAGATCTGACATCAGCACATTTAAAGAGGACTTGGGCTAAAGTGCACTGAGAACTTCTCTTTGAGACTGGATGCTTCACCAGTTTAATCCAAACTGGGAAAAGGGAGATTCTCTGACAGCTGCTCACCAATACTTGCCCTCTAAGTGAATCATAAGTGTGAGTGTCATAAGTATTTTGGCATCTTCAGCTGAGGTTAATATCTACATGTGTGTGAACAGGCCGAGGAAAAACCTCCCACCTCCAACCCTTCGCAGTCAATTTAAGACTGACTTTAAAAACTGAACCTGTCCTTTAATGAACACAGCCTGCGGCTCCGCCCCCTGTTAATCAAACACAGTCATCAGGTCACAAACGCTGAAGCACTAAAGCAGCTTCGGTCTGTCGCTGTCAGGCGTTTTAAAAAGAATGAAGGACGACCGACAGCGCAGAGCCAGCTGAGGCATTCGGTGACCTTGAAGACAAAAACCAGGGATTACGACCCTACCGTGTGTTTGTGTTGTCATTGTCTCTTTTTGAGGATCAGTGTCCTCGCTGCTGATAAATCCAGCCTTCACTCCCTCTTACAGCAATAAAATCTGATCTTAAGAGTCCGTTTGTTTCAGATTTTAACAACAGGAAGCGTACATGAAGTTAATTTTTTGGAGAGTTCATGTCTTATTCATGTTTTCGCGTTTTTCTTTGAAGATGTTCGTCCTTAAGCTGAGCTGAAGTCAGAGACAGATGTTGTAGATTTGTTCTATTTTAAGACTCAGCAGCTTGTAAAGTCACGCTTTAAGGATTACTGTCGACAATGTGAGGAATTTTCTTTGTTTTGTGATATAAACTCCTGAATGGAGGCGACTTTAAAGACAAATAATCCAGCCTGGAGGATCATTAACTTTTATTTCACACAGTTTATTGTTCATACGAGGCTCCATATCGAGCCTTTTTGTTGGCTGTTTGTTTGGATTGCAATTTTTCTTTTTCGTGCACACACTTTCATACTTAATGCTCTTTTATGCTAATTTTTATACTTCAAGGAAACTTACATTTCTGTTTTGTTTTTTGCAGAATACTAAAGTCTCCATTATATTCAGCAGCTCGTCTCTGTCTGTCAGTTGTTTGCTGCATGTGGCTTTTTATAGACGTTTCTCCATAAAACACCGCCAAGAGTGAGGCAGAGCTGTACAGTTGTAGCTGGACAGCTGAACAAAGGGATGACTCGCTGTAAAGAGCAGAGCTGCAGAATCAGCTCATAATTGTCTGCAGCTTTGCTACTATAACAATTAAATCTGTTTTCACACTGTCATTAAATACAGTGGGATAATAAACACAGTTTATAGTCTGTTTAATTAAAAGTGGTGCAATTAAAGCTGAAATATCTCTCTGAAAGGCAACATTACGTATTTGTTGTGAATGTGGATTTTGCAGTTCAGGCAGGCTAAAGAGGTTTTCAGATCATGTCTCTGGGTTCTAATAGTAAACACAGAACCAAAAACAGGAGCTGAAAGAGGCTAAAAGAGCAGAAGATGCCGACTGATGGCGTTTCAGGTTCTACACGAGGTCGGCGTCTTACTCTGCACATGTGACTGGTTTACAGTCGGCCTGGTAGCGATATCAAACAGCACCAGCGTCAGAGGAAGTGATCCCGTAGTGAGGTCAGAAGGTCTCCGACAAACACAGAGGCTATTCACTCATGCATGCATTCATCCGTCAGAGTAAAATATCAGCTCTTTCGTCACTCGGCCCAGTGTTCACATTCAGCCCAGTGTTCAGCAGCAGGAAGTTTACGGAAGTCAAAATCCAGGGTTTTCCCTGCCACTTAAACAGTTTTATACAGCCCCAAAGTCAAACGAGCCAGAACACACATGGAGACTGGTATATACTGGGTTATATGGTGGGGAGCTACACAACAACCTGTTCAGTAATGTTTAATAATGGAGGGTTTCCCAGGTTGTTGCTGTGGTAGCCTCAGATTCGCCCGCTAACTCCGGTAAAGGGTTTTATTTTCACAAAAGAAAGAAGAAGCTCGACCGTCACACATGCTGAGCTCCAAACAACAATCTGAAAATGCCACAGAAACCAGAGGAAAGCATTATGTTATTCATTAACCACTGACACGTCCTCCAACCTGATGCACCACATTGGTGTTTTATTACTCTCAGGGGATCCGCTGCAGCAAACCAGCAAGAGGTAAACCGTTAAAACCAGTAATTAACTCTTCCTTATGTGACAGTGCTGTGGTAAATGGATGGTTTGGGGCTAAAAAAATAACCTGCTGCAGTTTAGAGAACAGATCCATTCTGGGTAGAAATAAACACTCTGTTGAGGTTAGCAGACCTGTTTCATCATGGTTAGAGTAACAACAATGTGGTGAAAGGGAAACTAATTTAAAAAAACTTAAAGTATAGTTGAGTGTCATCTCCATGAAAACAGAAAGATCTGAGGCTTTCTACAAATAGGAACCAAAGAATTCATACAAGGAAGGAAACTGGACCTAGTAAAGATCCTTGCGGTGCTCCTCACCACCATAGGTGATCCAGACGAAGACACCTTGTTACTCACTAACAGAGGCTGATCTGTTGATGCTGGAAATCCACTGAATAAAAACTTGATGAACTTAAAGCGGACTCTTATCTGTCAGGAGTTTTTCCGAGGAGCCGATAAGGTGAAGTCTTTCTTTGAACAGATGACGGTGTGTCAAAATAAACCCATCTATCCCCCTCCCTCACTGCTTCATGGCCCTGGAGTATACAGATGGGCTCCACATGAACTCCAGGGTGCACTAATTGATAAAGAAAAATAGCGTCGGTTGTAAGAAGCTGCCGAGCAGGCAGAAACAGCCCGTCCAGCTGAAGCTCCACCGTGATATTGATCATTATTGAACAGCACATCATCACAGTAGGAGACCTGCTAAATCGGTGGGTATAGATGCATTTTTATAGCTTCGGGTTGACTTTACAAATGTTGCTGCTAAAATCCTCATCTGATCAAAGGGTTGTTGTCTATTTCCTGCTAATGCAGAAAGTTACATCTGCAAGCACTACTCAGGGCCAAAACGACCCATCCAGGTAAAGTATGTCATTGCACCAGATTTGTTTGTTCCTGCTCACTTTGCACTTCAGTCCAATCAGCCAATCATTGTCCTTAGATATAGATACGTGTGTGTGTGTGTGTGTGTGTGTGTGTGTGTGTGTGTGTGTGTGTGTGTGTGTGTAACATTTGAAGAACAGTGGTCAGCAGTTCCTACCATCCCTATTGTGCTCTTTGTGTCTGATTTCTCTCTTTTTAAAATTGATTTTATGCCCGAGTTCTTTCTTTTCACTGGCTGCCTCTATGTCCATGATGGCTGCCTGGATTTTTAAAAAGTGGATTTTGAATTTCCACTTTACCTCCCGTGTCTTACATTTTACTTCTCTCGTCTTCCCTGTGGTTGTTCTCCTGTATGCATTTATGTTTCCTGCTGATCAGGTGTAGCTGAATTAAAGCATAAGGACACATTTCTCTCTCTATATATATTCTATAATAATTATAATGAAACGCGATACCCGTCTCCATGAGGTCAGCAGATATGCTTCATTACGACTCCCAGACTTCTTCTTTTATGTCTAATATGAAGGCAGTGGCTGAGCAATACTCAGAAAAACCCTGACAATGCAGCTGTCACATTTTCAACTTGTGATGCTTGAAAATTGTCACCTCGCTCTGACCACTATCACCTCTGAGAAAACCACAAGGGCTCATTACTGTGAAAATCACACATTTCTACAAAATCTCTGCCTTTCAGAAACTGACAAACATCCTCGTTCACACCTCTAAACTTTCAAGCAAGCGGAGGAGAAGAGAGCAGCTGATGAGAAACCTCATCCTGGATGAGAGGACCGACCCTGGCTCTTCACCAGAACCAGACTTTCATTCTGCGTCGGTGCCTTTGGTTTATTTAGATCTTCCACTGTTCTGTGATTTTTATTCTAGTGTTTAATCTCTTCGTTTTATCTTCTTATCTTTTATCTCCCTGCGTCTCTGTTTTCGAATCCTCCTGCGTTTCTTGTATCTCGTCTCGAAGCCTCGCGCGTTTCATGTGCAGCCCTCTGTAGCAGACAGCAGATCTGAGATAAAGCAGCAGCGTGTCTGTAAACTGTCGGATCTTTCATCTGGCAGTTTGGGTCAGAGTCCTCCTGCTCACACACTTCTCTAAATAAACTGGACAAACCGGTTCAACAGTTTATAAGACTCCGTGCTGAAGGTTTCTCAGGTTTGGATTAAACTTGCAGATGTGGAGCTCATCTCATTAACAAGAGGGGGTGGTTGAGATGTTGTAAGTCGTGTAACTCTGCAGGGAAATGAGGAGCCAGACCCAGAGAATGTTAGGAAGGGGCGCCGCGGGAGCCCCGACCCTGACTGACTGACAGTGTTTCTGAGCGTTGCATCATCAGCTAACGGAGACTCATCTGCAAATATTTTCATAACTAACAGCTCAGATGTGCTTTAATGTGGGAACAACAGGCTGCACGCTGGTATTCTGTGACAAAGGTGCCTCTGTAGAGCTGAGAAGCAGCTGTGAGCACATTTTGAGGAAAATGCAATTCAACCGTGACCACAATGTCTAACCGCTTATTACTGATGTGTGGTTAATCAGCATGCAAACATTGAACCTTACACACACATATCAGACCATGCTTGAACACTTCTTCTAGCTACACATGCGTGTAACTGCATTTTCATCACTTTTACTTGTCACTACATTTTTGGATCTGTAAACTTCTTCAGTGAGTCTCGGTTTCACATTAGGTCAAATTTAGCTGTTTCCTTTCTGTTTTCATTTCCGCCAGTGACTAATTCACCAAAGACTTGACACCAAAGATCTATGAAAGTGGATGGCGTGCATGCACTATTTAACAAACGTCACAAAAACAATGAACACTTCTGCCTTTGAGCGTACGCAGCTCCACTTGACCTCCTCCTGTTTATCCTCCATCCACCCGGACCTCCTGCAGAAGACTCTGGTGCAGCTAAAAAATATTAATCAATTAAAGAGAGGGAAACTTGATGCACTGATATGAGAGCTTAAAGCGAGAAACATTTCCGTGCTTGAAAGTGCTCTGTGTGTGTGTCTGTACATGTTTACATATTTATGTGGGGACCAACAACCCTTATGGGGACAAAACCCCGCCCCCTGCAAGTTTGAAGGTGCTTTTGAGGCTCAAAATGTGGTTTTAGGGTCAAGGTTACAGTTACGTTATGGTTAAGCATTAATTTTTGATGGCAAGGGTTAGGGAAAGCATTATGTCAATTAGATGTCCCCACAAAGACATGAAAACACGATTGTGTGTGTTTGGCTCGATATGCCTACTCTTGCCCATCATGTAAAATTGTAAGCATCCTCTGCTTCATTTCCCGCACTCTGGTGAATGTTTGTGCACCACTTTGTGCGTTGTCTGCATGAGTTTTTTGTTAAATGTTCACATCAATGATGAATTAATTCATTTTAATTAAAACAACTCCTCCTCCTTTGCTCTTCTCGCTCCTCGATAGTTATCAGGCTGACTGCCTGCGCAGGGCTCCAGATGAGAGGAGGAGATTCTGTGCCACTGCTGATTGAGATCACAACACTGTGCATGTGTGTGTGCGTGGCAGGGATAAATACGTTTGCATCAAACAACTCAGAAGCTGTGCGACTTCAAAATAAAATTCTTTTTCTCTTTTTCTTTATTTAACCTTGTGCACGTGTCCTCGACCACGAACGGCAGCAGCAAGTTGGTGTTTTCAGTGGAGGACGAAAGATTTGGACCCACTTCCTGTGAGGCAAGAGTTCAAACCACCAAACCAAACTAATGCAGTGGTGCTGCCACTGCATTAGTTTACTCACAAATTCATATTTACGAACACTCGTGCTACATATAGAGGGGAAAGTAAGCAAGAATATTCTTCTAGAAATGTAACTATCCATTCAGGAATCTAAATTATTGCTAAAATATTACTTTAAATAAAAGCTTGTTTCAGAGTTTGATATCTTGCTGTTCTTCTTACAGGTTCAAATTTGTTTTGTTTTGCAGGATTACACAAAACGAGGCAGAATTTCATGAAAATTTGGAGATGTAGCACATGGCTGAAGACATAATCCATAAAATCTGTGTGCAGAGCTACATTTCTTTCACTAAAACTGTGAAATAGGGCACCTGCTGTGGAAGCGAGTGCTCCTCTACTTTCTGCTGCTTCTATCTGATCTGCGAAACTGAACCAAACTCGGCATTCAATTTTTATTTTTGGTGCACAAAAAAAATTAAACCG